AGTTTAAGAAAAAGAAATTTGAGGCCATGCATTTTTGTTTGGTTGCAGAAATTCACCCCTAACTGCACGTGCCCCAAGAATATTCCACAGTGGAAGCCAAGAAGACAACATGCCTGTACATCGTCTGGAGGAAAGTTTCACCATCCATCTTGGCTCGCAGATGAAACAGATGCACAACATTCGCATTCTTTCGGCTGATGTGTTGGATTTTTGTCGCATCAGACCGCAAGCTTCTTCAGGGTAAAGCTTATGTTGATCCATCTGTAGCAATAAGCGATGTTAATTGTAGTAATTGTATTTTTTTTTTCTACAAGTTACATTGAGTCTTATATTCTCCAAGTCACAGATGTTTTTCTGCGTTGTGCTGTCCTGTGTACAGGTAGAGGCCTCGCGACGGGCCGATCCCTCGTCCAAGGAGTCCTACCGAATGTCTATAGATCAAGCTAACGGAAAGTTGGGACCCGCAGTGCTCAGGCACTTGAAGAACGGGTCATTCCCAGTATCCCCAGTGCTTAATTATTGCTTACGTTTGTCTGTTAATGAAACTATGCAGTCATACATTGATTATACTCCAATTTTGTAGCGGGGATTCTTATATCTCTCCATCCAAGTTCTTAGGCTATGGTCTTTTCCTTCTTTGATTATACTTGTGTAGATCACATGAAATTAAAGGATTAACGATGATTTATCCAGACAGTGCGTGGACGTTTTAAGATCTCTTTGGGGCACACCAAGTCTGCCAATCCAGAGTATTAGATAGAATTACACTGTCTTCTACATGGGACTGATCTCGTAGTTTTAATTTTCTCTACAGCAGTCTTGATCCACAACCACAACGGCTTCAAACTGCTCTGGCACTGTACTCAAATGATCTGTATGGACTGGTTATTCTCACAGACAGTCACATTGGCAGTTACTCAGGCCTCAGCAAAGGTAATGTGTACTTGAACGTATGTTTATCGATTAGAGGGAGGCCATATCTGTCATTAGACTGAGGAAAATCACGTAAGAATAGTCAGGATGTTATTACAGCATCATTAAGCATTTCACACGTCCTGATGTCAGTTTCGTCATTCTCAGAACTCAATGAAGTGTGTCAGCATTCAACAGACTTTCACTTCCCATCTGTCGACGATCAACTGGAGAAAATACGAGATGAGGCGAAGGAGGCAGTGGCATGGCGGCAGTCCCACTGGGGCCGCAGCAGTAGTGGCGAGCATTTGGTGACCCTTACTTCATCAGAGAAACAGGTGTGGGTTTTTTCAAAGTATCTGGCACTGGAACTGATTCCTCCGTGTTGATTGTAACACCATGTCGCGATAGAACAAACTTCTGATGTCACTTAATAATATAAAACATAACCATCTTAAGAGACATGATCATGGCTGTGGCGTATGTGATTCCTTGTTATAACAAGGCACTGTCATGGTATTAATCAATGCTATCATGATGCCGTCTGCAGTAGTGAATGGATTTTCGCGGTACTTATATGAACGTCATGCCACTGGGAACCAACAAACATTCTGCTTTCTGATTTTCAGAAGTCATACATATTTTATTTAATTCTTTTGACTTACAACACAGGCGTTGAAGCTGTCTATTGACAACTGCAGTATGAAGAGGATTTACTGTGCTTACGATTGGTATATCCGGTGTCTCTTTACAGTCGCGGCGCTCTGGTTCAACAAAGAACTTGCAGACAGGAGATGTGTATATCACAAGACATTCAAACCTAGCTGAGGTTCATGTGATATTTCATATGGTGGTGGATGATTCATTGAGATCAAGTAAGCTGTATTTTACCCTCTTTATAATTTATCGTGGTTCGTACCAGTGTACATTTCATATATGTTGATATGGAGACAGATCATGGAGTTACCTACATTTCTTTTATTGCTGTTAACACATCTAAACATACTTGTTTCTTCTTCATTACGCCGTCTCCTTTACAGGAGGTTGGCGACATATTATGAACAGGATCCTTCCATCCTTTTCTCGGACTGGGACCTGTTCATATACGTTCTTTAGGCAGGTGATACAGAAGTGGTTTGCCATTGCCTTCTTCTGTGTGTGAATGGAGTAATTGTTGGGATGCCACGGAGGAAAACTCCGTGTTGCCTAGACCACGGCCTTGCCCAACACAAGTTATAAATTCGGGCACCGCCGGGAATCAAACCCGAGACCCCAGGATTACAAGGCCAGCGTTCTAACCGCTAGACCACCTCATCTTATTATTATTTAGTGTTCTGTCTGACGACAGGTCCATATGAACAGGATCCTTCCATCCTTTTCTCGGACTGGGACCTGTTCATATACGTTCTTGGCAGATGATCCAGAAGGTGTTTGCCATTGCCTTCTTCTGTGTGAGTGTGAATGGAGTAATTGTTGGGATGCAACGGAGGAAAACTCCGTGTTGCCTAAACCACGGCCTTGCCCAACACAAGTTATAAAGTCGGGCACCGCCGGGCAAGGCCAGCAAACATACTTCTTTGCAGTATGATAATTACTGTCCTTAAATGATAATAAACTAGAAGAGGCAGCGTAATCATGGGGCACAGCAAATAATTTAAGATGTCATCGAGGAATACAGTGGCTGACCACAAACCTCACACTGCAAAACAGAGATTAAACATAGTAGTTTTCAGTACAAAGTATCCGGTGAATAAAAGGAAACAAAGAATTTAAGGAAATTCTCCCACGTAGAGCGATGTGAAATTTGTTAACTGGCGCAAATTAAGCTGCAGACCACTCGTTCCAAAAACACTGCCTTAACTGATATTTCTGTTTACAGGTGATATCAACTCCAGACACCCTGTAATCTTGGGACTGCGTAACATTCTGAAGACGGCCTGCTCCAAAGACATTACTACGCTAACAGTACCAGTTCTTTTGGTGCATGAAATGACAGAGGTAGTTCATAATAAGGAATGAATTTAAAGGGGCAGCTGCGTATCTTGAATAAATTCACATAACTTTTTTTGTACACGTTTCTTGTTCCGAACTTTTACAACAGTTCAGAATGAAATGGGAGTGAACTATATATTACTGTTTTGTTTCTAGACAGATCTGTGAATCTGAGTCAAAATTTTTCTGTTATGTTCTCATTTCTTAACATCCTTATCCACTTATAATTCACGGCGATCGTACCGTGATCTATGCAGCTGACAAAATATAATTTAGTTCTCAAAATACAAAGGCTGTACCACACCTCGAGGTGCGTTCCACCAAAGCTCTGTACACTGGACTCGTTGCAAAGTCACGTTAACTAATATCAAATTAAATTACTTTTGATTCCAGGAGATGACTGTTGCCTGGTGCACCAAAAGAGCTGAATTGGTCTTCAAATGTGTTAAAGGTTTTATGATCGAGACTGCGTCTTGGGGAGGCTCTGAGCTAAAGAACTTGCAGTTCTTGGTTCCTAAAGTAAGCTTATAAGAAGATTTTGGGTTCCCACAGCATCACATGTGACGATGGCTGTCTTCTGGGATGTTGGACCACGTAGTCTGATAGAAGTTTACTGACGTTTAAGAGGTGCTTGCTGCCTCCATCACCAGGGTCCCTTATCCTGATTAAAACAACAAGCACCTCTAAAATGTCAGTCAGATTCTGTAAGACCACATGGCGCAACATGCCAGAAGACATCCATCGTCATACTTTCTGCTGTAGGAACCTGAAATCTCACATATTGAACACAGATGGCACATTTTGATCCGAAGTTGGGGAGTCAGCTGTAGGGCATACATCCCTTCATAAAGAAATAGGAATATTATCCTTCACTTATTTATTCACTTCATATCAACTGAATGACTTCCTTATTTGTTTTCAGGGTATTTCTGAGGAGGTGTTCGGAACTCTGGCCACCATGTTGCCGAGCATATTCCGCGTATCTAATCCTCTCGTCTTCAAAGCATCGTCATCGACACCGCATACGCCTAAAAGTGGATAAACACCGGAATGCAGCAGATGTCAGCGATATCTACTTAGATTGCTGTATCCTGGGTTATATTACTGTGTGGTCTGGTGGGAATTTATCAACATTGCATTGGCCCTTTTTGCTTCTATCTTCAGGGAACCCTGACGATGGAGGCAACAAGGACTCCTGACTATATTGTGCAACAACCCAGGAGACAGCCAACTTCACACTCATCACTGCGAGAACCTCGAATCCTACTTAATATCTACTTAATTTATAGCTTTGCTGAGTTATTTGTGTGTAATATAATGTACAAGAAAGATTAAAAATGCATTTCAGAAATGAGATGAATTACGTGTTTAATTGATTTTGTTTATAATTTCTTTATGGCAGTTTAATGGTTTGTGTTGACATTAAAACTTTTTTCCTAACTTTCTTTGTGACATTTGACGAACGACGACTGACAGAGTTTTGGGACTTGTCACCCCATTCCTCTGCAATGGAGAAGCGGGCCATGTTTTTATGTGCCATCTTGCAACATTTTAATTGAAGAAGTTTGACATGATTCATTATAAAGCCTCTTAAGTTAATACGACCAAACATGGGGGTCTAGCGGTAAGCAATTGTTATTTGTATATGGAGTTCCTGGGTTAAAATCTCGACATGACGACTGGCTACCCTGAAGTTCTTTTTGTGTGTCTCGTCAGTCCGTCCAGGTAAGTGCCAAGACAGTGCCTTAAATTAGTCCACAACCACTTCAATTTTATTTCCAAATTATTATTTAAGAATAATACCAGACTAACAAAAATTGTTTATAATTACAACCATATGGGAAGATGAGAATTGGGACGACCCAGAAAACGATGGAGAGACTATCACGACCACCCCATGAAGTGGAGAAGAAGAAAACCATTATTCGTTAATCATCCAATCTACACAGACTGAGGTACTGACAACATCACTAAATAAAAATAAATATATTAATTAATCCATTACAAAACCTACACGAGATGAAGCTGAAGTTGGCCTTTGTAAATTTTATCTGCGGTAGTTCACCACATAAAACGTAAAATACAAAAGATATTTCTATAATTTTTATTTTAAACATTTTTGTTTCAGATGCCACTGTAGCGTTGCCTCTTAGATCCTTTGACGTGAAAACACAAAATACAAATACCAGTTAGTAAAAATGGATATAAATGAAAGATCACAGATACCTGGGATCCACAGTTGGCGAGGGACTGCTGTGTAGGCTTATAAACGTAATAGGTTCACTGCAGTCAGAGGAAACTAGCGCCTGTAGATGTATGACTAGATTAACCGCACAACAGTCGTGTCGGAGAAGTTGCCGCAGTGTCACGGCGAATCGGACGATTATGAAAGCGAAAATTAAGGAAAGGACATTGGTTGTGACTGATAATATCTGATGTTTTTGTAGTCCTACATTCCACACTTTTACTACAGGACCCCAAGACGACGATAAGGATTGTTTTGATGAATGTTAGGACAATGCTTTAAAATATTAAACGGCCTCTTCATTCCACGTCCTTTCCGGTTAATCGCCGTAATCATCCAATCGTTCCACGCTAAATAACCTGCGCATTTGACAGACAATACTTGTCTGAAGGTATGTATGTGTGCTAACCTACTTATCTACCTTTTAATGATGACCTATGACTGAATAAGTTACTTAAGAGCTAAATTTTGTGAAATCTCGTTCAAGCAGAAAAACGAAGCGACAAACATAATTTTATTATACCACAATTACGTCGTACTTTGTTGTTCTGAGACAAATTATTTTTCACGATGCCTAAGTATTTGGCTCAACTCCCGAAATTAAATATATTTCAGATAATAGACACGTCGAACATAACCGTGGATTCACAAAACTTTAGAGAATCATCAAAGTCCTGTTTGCCATTACTTTGTGTAATATACATACAGATTTCATATAGGTGTAAGGGGGGCGAGAAAGGAAACTCCACAGATTCCCTATCCTCGCACTGGATAAAGGAAACCGGTCGTTGTTCACCCGGTACACATCGGAAAGGAGACTGGGTGGGCCCTGGAGACAGTCTGGACGTGATGGCGAAAGTAATTTCTTGGCCTTGCGGATAATCGACCCCTGTTCATTCAACTCGCAGTCTGAGTTCTCGCGGATCGCGAAGAAGATCTCTCGCGTTGAGGGAGGGAGTTCCCATGCCGCGAGCGAGAGGATAAGCGCGGAACTTCCCATGTGTGTGCGACGCAGTCCTCCCCTGTGACCGGGCAGCGTTCTGACAGGCCGGAATTCCTCCTGATCTCACAACACAAGATCGAACGTCGCGGCCAAGTGGCTGACACATCCTTTTAACCCACCGACGCTTGAAGTTCGTCCAAATATTTAGAAATTCAGCCCGTACCTCAAAGAAAACACTGTAAGTCTCCATTACATGGATCGACTAGTTTGTGCTGTTTAGGGAAATTATTGCTGTTTGCACCGAGAATTATGCGTATCCCTATATACGGTCTGTGGGAGGGGGAGAGTTAATTAATGTTAAAACACGTGGTACATAAAATTACCAGCGGGTAATGAGAGGTTCCGGATTCTAAATTAGTCCCACTGCTCCCCTATCAATTTTACTGTCATTTAAACGGTTGCTATTACTGTGACCATTAATGGAGCTGCGTAATTTCTCCTTAATGCTTACAAAAATCCACGTTCCCCTTCCGCAAGCCGTTTAGTTTTTGTTAAATAAGCGCGCAGTATGCCATATCGTAAATACTAACTTATTCAACTGGTACATCATTTAGCACTATTTTAAATGTTTCTTGGAATGCTATGATCTCAGTTTGGCAGCTGATATTATTTGTAAATAATCTTCTGGTATTTTAATTATGATTTAATATTCAGCACAGCATATTAAACGCTCACCGAGTCTCTCCTTTTATAATAGCTACTCCTTCAGGTGTTTAACCGTCTCCCTATTACGTCATTAACACAAACATTACAACAACTTGAGAGAGTTAAACACACTCTTATGTTACCTCCTACCACAATCGTTATTGGGTGTTTTCTTCTAACTTATGCGCTTGCTGTGTGTATTATGACGTCTAAATGTACGTGTCTTACAGCATTTATGTTTCGTGGAAATGCCATTAAGAAATTTATTGCAGACACAAATCTGTTGTCGCGAAAATTTTTGATCAGCATAGAAACCACTCTGTACGAAGTCATAAATGGGACGGCTGACAAATCTAAGAACCACTACAGACATGATTAATCATCTCTTGTCTTTCTCGTTGTACACACGTAAGAGCAAATCTACCACCTCAGGTTGACGAGAGGGTAAACGTAATTCCTGTCGGATGTGCGCTTAACTTGTGGTGCGTACTGTACCTGACTGGTCTGCATAATCCAGCCATAAGCCTACGTTGCAACGCTACTTCCATAACAGCAATAGTCTATTTTTAACGACACAGACACAGTAGTAGGGGATCGATTTAGACAGAAGATTCTCTTTAATTTTAATTAGCATAATTACTTCGCTTACGCGTTTACCGTCCATCTTTTCAAAGTATTTTATCTTATAATCGTATTAACATAATAAAGAAGAACAATTTAGAAATTCAGTCAACACTTGATTCGTAACTTGCAAATTAACAAACAGCAGAATCAGGGATAGTTAATTACTTTTATTACACGGCCTGACTGAAAGTATTCATACCTGAAGAGAGAGTATTTTCCTCCGAAACATTAGTCTACACGGCGTCACAACTCAGAAGATCAACACGAACATCTTCACAGACCTAAGGACCTCGACCTACGTTGTCGATTTAATTTATTAGAAAATTGATTTTAAATGTTGACTTTAACTGACATAGTTTTAACAGAAGATAAAATGTAATGACAGCAATCTTCGCAGATAATTAAGTGAGTAGAACGAACAACGAAGTTACTAATTTGTTAAATAAGCAAATTTCTGAATACGTATTGGATTATTGCTGGGTAAATTATTCAATATGAAAGTCACAAGATGAAAATAAAGTAAGGGTTTTTCAGGGTAGGACAGCGGTGGGATATGAAATAATATTTTGAAGACAGAATTACTAGCAAGTAAATAAATATTAATTTTAGGATGTACCTTATAACATCATGAAGACATTTACGAAACACAATATAGAAAAAAAAATTAATCGTATTAATGGTACTATAAAGATAACACTGGGGAAGAAAATAATAGGATACAACATTAAGATTTTATAAGGGCGTTTAAGTGCCAAATTTACTGCATGGAAGTAAAACTTTGACAACGTGTGTGTGAGAGAGAGAGAGAGAGTAAGTGAGTGGATTGAGATTTCTTCGAAACATAGCAGAATAAAAATGAACAAATAAAAGAATAAACGAAGACATTTGAGAAGGCAAAGAAGAATGGTGTAGACCACGTGGACAAGGCGAAGTTATAAGAATGTCTAAAATGGTCATGAAACGTGGCTGTACTCAGGGAGCCAGTTCTATCACAGAAGTATAAAAAGTTATTTGCTGCCATTCGGAGAAAATCTGCGATATTTTTAATCAGATATTTCCAAGAAGTTGTTTTCAGCTGTTGGGAAGCCCGAACTGCGCTCCCCAAGATTTGGCTCATAGCAAAAATATCAAAAAAAAAATTTAAAGAAGCGGTATTTCAAATGTAGTGCCACGGACCACTCAAGAATTGCAGAATACAAATTCGGGCAAGGCCGTCCCTTACGAATAATTCCTCACAGTCCCTTCTTAATACTACATTCCCATGCACGTCGAAGCCTCCCAGCTGCTGTCTGCCCTCGAAATGCTATGACCAAACCACTACACGCATTCCCTACCTCCCGCTATGAAATATTCTCAACCGGCCTGCAAATCTCCTCTTTTTCAGATCGAAAAACTTTCCCCAGCACAGTTAAAGAATTGAATAACGGGGAGGTTGGCAGTGGAAACGGGAGTCTCTTGAGAAAAATGTCCTTGCGCTCCACACAATACGGACCGGGCCTGAACCCGGGCACAGTGATCGCGCCACTGCTACGACGCAGGCCCGGGTCTCCTCATCCCGACAACGATTTTTGTGAGAGAGGAGAGCTGCTTTCTCACTCACTCGTTGCTATGACGACGCCTTCCGTATGGAGCTAGCGACTCTGACACAGCCCGCCACCGGCCGCCTGTCTGGCTAACTGGCTGACTTGCTAGTTGCCTGGCTGGTTGATTGGCTGACGGGATGGATGACTGTTCAATAGCTGGCTGACTAAACCTGCAGTGTGGATGCCTCAGTGCCTGGATAAATAGCTCTACAACTACCTGATCTCCTAAGCTACAGACTGTTCATGTATCTACCTGATTTCCGTTGCTACTGGTCTCTGATCATTGCTTTCTACCTTCCTCGTGCGCTTTCGAAGGTACCGTCGCATCTGCCCTCCCGTGTGGATTGTTTACTAGCATCCGCGCTGACAGTTCAGCCAACCCCGCCGCGCCGACTACAAGCTGCCGTCTGACCCGGTTGTGAGCGCGCTGCTCACCGCGCAGTGCCGCAGTTGTATTTGTACGAGTGGCGAACTCACACCCACATCGTGGCTGACTCCAGCACAATCACGTCGGACCTGGACTCTACTCTCAGCAGGTAACAACATCGCACAACGTACAATGCACTGATGCTGCTTTGTGCTGTGCTTTTCATTCAATCGTGAGTTTCATGTTTTTATTCTGTTACCCTCATTATTATTATTATTATCGCTGGGTTGGCGGACTGTCCCAGGAGACAATTTCGCGATACTACTGACGCTGTTACTACTACTACTACTAACTGTTCTTCTAGTGTTTTTAAAAAATATTTCGCAGGAATTATAAAGCGTCCAGAATGTTGCGTATTTATGTGTTCTACATAAGGATATCCGGTAATTTCGTTAAATCTTTTCTTCTTATTATTATTATTTAACAAGAATTCTTCCTTTGTTTATATACTTAAACATGTGTCGAGTGCAACAGGAATTTTATGTTTAACGTTACTGATACGATTAAATTACATTAGTGCAATTTTAATTGTGTTGTGTAAGAGTGAACAGTCAGAAAAAAAATCTCTGTTAACGTTTAGAGTGATGTCCACACATCACTAATTCAGACACGCATTTAAAATGCGGCGGCCAGTTACATTATTAAGTTTAATTCCGAACGTATCCTTGTTTTTGCCAACCAATCCTAAGCGTGCCTTAATTACAAACAAAGAATGCGTAATGTGTAACACACTGACATTCAACACCGCCATGACCGTGTGACAGACAACATCACAGCCCCTAGATTCCTTTGTGTTGACCTAGTAATCGTAAAAAGTCAGAGAGTGTGAATAGTTTGGATTGTTTCATTACGGCTATCAACTATAACCGTACTAGAGGTACTATCGCCGCGTTGTAAAAGTTAAATCCTTATTTGCCACGGATAACCCGCGCCAAAGTTACCAATTTAGAAGTAATTCATAGTTAGTTCATGATGCCGAAATGTTGTCTTCTGCAGCTCAGTATGTGTAGCTTTTTCCATTTCTGTGAAATGTATTCAAATCTCGTTTCCTGCGTCACCAGCGATTATCATTATACTCTTTTACTCACAATGTTTATATCTCGCATTTTACAAATACCGCGGAATATTACTAAAGTGATAAAATCAAGGTGCATGCGAAGGGCGGGGCATGTAGCGCGCATCAGAGAGATGAGAAATGTTTACAAAATTTTGGTTAAAAATCCTGAAGTGAAGAGACCACTCGGAAGACCTGGGCGTAGATAGAAGGAAAACATTAAAATTGATCTAAGAAATAATTGGTTTGGCGAGTTGATTGGATTTATATGGCTCAGGATATGGACCAGTGGCGGCATCTTGTGAACACTGAAATTAAACATCGGGTTCCTTAAAAGGTGGGGAATTTGTTGACCAGCTTATAGACAGTTACTTTCTCCAGAAGGAAGCTTCTCCACGGAGTTAGTTTTTATAAATGTTATACAAACTGCTGAAATTAAGGTTGTAGTGCAAGTTTGCAGTGTTCGTTTGAAGCACTTATAATTAAAATGTGTTTCTTCTCCATTTTGTACTTCGCAATGCACAAGAATCAGTCACGTTAAAGTACAAATGCTGTGGATACGGACTGCAAGTCTGTATGCAGACTACCTGCATCTCTCACGTGCTGGAGAAGTTGCCTCCAGCGTTAGGCGCCCTCCTGCGTTTTGTACAAAAATTTTTGCGAAGAATTGTGTTGTATGCATTTAGCACAAGAATGAGGGACACGCAAGGAGCAATACTCAGCAAAATGTGTCTAGAGACTCGCGTTCAACAGGTTGCTAACAAAACGGGACAAATGTAACAAAGCATTCAGAGAATCTTCGTGAACACAAGACTTTGTGTGTTGCTCTGAAGGAAGAACACAGACTGAGGGCGTTTGAAAACAAAGTTCTGAAGAAAATAAGTGACAAAGAGAGGAAACAGTTTCATGGCGAGGAGCTTAAACACTCGAGAAGATAAACCACCCAGTTAGTCAAGAAATCCCCCGATTTTTATGGAACCCGAAAAGTTCATTACTGTGTTAACAAGAGCCTGGTCCCAACTCTGAGCCACAACCCAAACCCACTTTTCCTAAGATCCACTTTAATATTATCTTTCTATCTAAGCCTAACTTTCAGGCTTGCCAAGGAATATCTCGCACGCATTTCTTATCTCCTCATTTATCATCCGCCGGCTAATCCTCCCCCCCTCGAAAAAGAGCCCCCCGCGGCCATTGGATAGAAGGCTAAGTGGGAGCCTATACGAATGCGGTAGTAAAAATATTTCTCTCCCTGCACGGAATCGAATCCCGGTCTTCCAGCTCAAAGTCCGCCTGAGATATCACGACATTTTATTGAGGAAAATGAAATTTGCAGGAGGATGGACATCACAGGCCACTTTCTCAGTCCTGTTTCGCTGTTAGGCCCCTCCGTACTTGGTCATCTTTCTCACACTGCAAAATTCTCCTTTTTCCTTTATCCGCGTGTTTGTCCCCAAGGCACGTCTCAGCGTCTTTAGTTACCGAACTCAGCGAATCGTATTGATGGTCTCCCATTACAGTAGCAAATAGTTGCTCTGCATATCGGCACCTTGAGGCTGGAAGTATTGTATTAACACTTTCCACGCTACGAACGAGATATATAGCGTCGAAACCAGTTCCTTCTACTGTAATGACTCGACACTTCGCAGCAAAATATCACCTTCCCAAATATTGATATTTTAATATAACCTATTATAACACTGCAGCTACACGATACGTAACCAAACGAGGACACTTAAAGGCTTATTTACAAGATGTTGTTAACACGTAATTTCTGAAATCCTAGCCAAGATCTACGTGCCTATTACTAATTCGATCGCGTGGCACTTGCTCGATACGAACATCACGAGATGTTTGACGACGCACTTGTTGCAGTGCCGTGATTCCGCCAACTGGATTCAGATAACGTCATTTTGTGTAATCCCTCAGGACTCCATCTCCAGAACCACGAACCTTGGAAGCGGTTTTCTTTCATTCACATCTACAGTCACTCCCTTCTTCCATAATTTACTTGTACTTACTCAGTCACTCCTCTACTCAGATGTCTCCTTGCTTCCTAAAATTCTCTCCTTTACGCACACACCTACACGATTACCAACTCCCGCCCATCAAATTTCACTCTTCACTTGCTTCAGTCTTGTTTTTTTTTTATTTATTTATTTTCTTTTCTAATTTCAACCGAGACAAAAGGAAATTTAAACGCCGTGGCATGACAGCTTATCTCTCTTTCATCCTCAAGAAAGTCCCTCGAGGAGAACATCAGCAAATTGCAGACACATCAACGAAATATTATGATGGAAAAGAAGGTATATTTTTATCTCGCTTTATTAATCGCCAATCTGCTAAGAAAGTCAGCGTTTGTCACTGCCTCCTTCTTGATCCAGTATTTTTATAATTAATATGTGAAGCCGGTCTCTGCGCAGTCTGTCGCCATGGTAAATTCGCCCACAACTGCAGGTAAAGACTCAGATGCCAGCGTTAATTTAATAAAGAATTCTTTTATTGTACTACCCGGGCAATTAATAGTTTCGATTGCTAAATAGTCACAAGTAACGATCAGTTTTGCGGAACGAGGCGGTTCAAGGACGCTAATAGCAAATTCCACGACTGGACACAACTCAGAGTCACGTCTATCCACCTCCTATCCTCGCTAGTTCTCTAAGTTACATTTTAATATTATCCTTTCATCTCCTTCTCGATCATTCAATTAGTCACTTTCCAATATGTTTTCCACCGTTTTTATGAATTTACCTTTTCACCCACCCCGAGCTATATTTTCAGCTCAACGTGACTTCTATCCTAACGAAGTTTATCATTATTTGGGATCCTAAACTGTCCTATTATTTCATCCTTACTCAAATTATTTTTAGAGCACTTTGTTTAAAGACACTCGCAATTTATGTCATTTCGAGTAATAAAATACCCGTACGTATTACAGTACTCTAAAACTGTTTCATTTTATTGATATTTGAAGAAAATCAGACCAATAATTAATGAACTATGATAAAACAGGGAATTATCGATTATTTGAGTACCTCAACGCCATTTTGAAATTACTGCTTCAGTATGCTGCTATTACGCCACGATGTCACGTGGGAATTATGACATTTTATCATGTCTGAGGGCACAGACATGTGTCCTTTAATGCTTGAAGTAGAAAGAAACCGGCGTTGTCATGGATACTGGCATCGTAGACTGAAGCTGTGTATCACGGCTCATAATTGATACGCTGGTCAAAATGCGTGCAATTTTATCCCAGACCTTTGCAGCAAGGTCTCCTAAAATTCTCTAGGGTTTCACTCCTAATTCTTTTGCTGAAAGTCTTACGGAGGTGACGACGTGTGTTTGAGGCGTGCCTCGAGGATTCCCGACTGCACGTAAATCCACGTGTACGAGTCCTGCAGTCCTGCTCGAAAGGCTTATGTTCTCTCTCTCTCTCTCTCTCTTGGCTAATGAAAAACAAAAACATATTCCACGCTCCAGCCCTGTGTTCCATCCATTAAATTTTTAAAAAAAACAAACATAACAAATGTGAGTTCCATGGAGTATACAGTTTTTTTTTTAGACACTTGCAGTTTTGCAAATGTCAGTGGTCTTCGTTTTAATTACATTCACAGATCTATCGATTTATTTATCTATCGATTTAAAGTTAGTAACGCAGACAAGACACTGTATAGGGAAAAATTATTTTCCTTCGTTTTTCTTAACTGTAGGTCTGAATTATAAAGATTTTTATACGCTCTTTGTGAGGAAATTCTGTTACAGAATGTATTTTCCGAGTTTGTTTAAACACGAGACTTGCGTGATATTTATAACCAACTTTTTATCTTTCCATAGAAGTAATAGGTTATACGTCTATTTTACCACCAAAGGCCAAAATTAGATGCAGTTAGTGAAGGTCCCAATATGAAATAAAAACTAAGCTAGTTCACTTTTTTTTTTCCGGAAATAAACATCACATGCAACCCCCACAGCGCGTTAAATCCATGCAACTGCTGCAGAGAACGAGTAAGATTCAGGTCGTAAGAATAAAGCATTCGGCCAGTCATTGACACGCG